TCTTTCTGCTGCTTTCCGAGTAGGGAAAGTCAGCTGCAGCAGGAAAGCCCAGTGGAGGCTGCAGCCCAAGCTCTGCTCTCCCTCCACGCCAGCTGGGTTCCGACTGTCCCTCCCTCCCTCCTCGCCTGCTCCTGCCAGCCAAAACTCTGCATGTTGAAAAAGCTCCTCGCTATTTAAGGCGAGTGGCTGGGTCTGGAGGCGGGGAGCTGTGGCTGGCTCAGAAATCCCACACCGTGCACCACCAGCTGCCACAATGCCCAGCGAGCTCTGGAAGGGGCGAACAGCAGRGTGGTGCCAGCACTGCCCATCCCTTTGTTTGTCCTTTCTCTGGTTAAAGGCAGGAATTAGGGCCCTGCCTGCAGGATCACAAAGTGGCTGAGGTTGGAGGGGACCTATAGAAGTCACCTGGTCTAAACCCCTGCTCAACTGAGAGCTCGTTGCTCAGGACTGTGCCCAGACAGCTTTTGAGTATCTTCAAGGATGGAGACTCCTAAACTTCTCTGGGCAACCCATGTTAGTGTTCAGYCACACACAGAGTGAAAAAGTGTTTCCTGATGYTGAGRTGGGCTCTCCTGTGTTCAAGTTCGTGGCCTCTGGTCCCTGGCACTGGGCATCACAGACAAGAGCCTGGCTCCATCCTCTCTGCACCCTCCCTGCAGAAAGATCCCCCTGAGCATTCTCTCRTGCCAGCTGAACAGTTCCAGCTCTCTCAGCCTTTTCATYTAAGAGAGATGCTCMAGTCCCTTCAGCAAYTTCATGTCCCTTTGAACAGGACCCAGTACTGACCCCTGGGAGTGTTGCTAGTGATTGGCCTGCAATTAGAACTTGTGCCACTGACCACCATCATCTGGGCCTGGCCACTAAGACCGTTTTTAAAGCCACTCAGAAAGCCAGGAAAGCTGGGAGCTTGTGAGGTCACCACTCTGACCTCCTCCTSCTCCCAGCCAYGAAGAGATGAGACCATCACWCAGGGTTTTCTCCACATGAGTTTTGCAGACCTCCAAGGACAGAGGKGGGCTGAGCCATTCCCACCCAGCCCTCCCTCAGCTGTCCCCAAGCACGTGGGTTACAATACCTTGCATTTTCTGACTTTCTGCTCATGCACTGGTGGAGGAAAAGGTAGTCCTGGGGGGCACTGGCAGACAGGGTGCTCTGGAGGTGGCTGGYRGGTGAGTCGAAGGTGAACAGGGTGGGCTGGCTGGAGTGGGACGGTGCCGAGGACTTGCGCTCCCGCAGCAGGTGGTGGCTGGCACCGCTGAGCTCTGCCGGGGAGGAACGCGGGGCGTGGTTCATGGATGCCAGGCTCCTCAGGGTGTCTGTGCAGGGAAAAAAACACACCTGTGAGCGGCAGATGTAGCTACCCCACATCCTGCCTTCCCAGGATTTCCCTTCTGTAAATGCTCCGGCATTTATGGAGGTCAGTGGGGTTAGCTTGTGACTCCAAGTGATGCTCTCCGCTTCTCTACTTGGACCACATGCAACTATAGGCATCATGTATGGCAATAAATATTTATCATATTTTATCATAAATCATGTTTCATCATTTTATATTTTATCACATGCTTAGTGGCTTGCTGGGACGTCTGCAGGATCTCAGCCTATTTCATGGTGAGCTCAGTGGGTTGTTAAAAYCTGGTTTAAAAGAGGAGCTTTCACACTGCTGTGAGATGTGATTTAAGTCACCTCCATCCCTCTGTGTAAGGGCATCGCTGCTATCTCTTTACAGTTGGGTTAACTGAGGTACAGGGAGGGACATAATGACAGCAGAGATGAAAAATAGTCTCATGTTTCCCAGTTCTGTATTGATTTTGTGACCTCAAGAGAGTTGCTSCTGTTTTCTGTGAATAAAATGGGATGCAGACTCGAGGCGTGACTCCTAGTGCCCACACCCCCTGCTCAAGGAGAAACAGACTTTAAAATGTTACATTAATTTCAATGGAGAATATCCCAGAGGTCAGGAGAAACAGACTTTAAAATGTTACATTAATTTCAATGGAGAATATCCCAGAGGTCAGGAATAAACACGGAGCTACTCCAGCCCTCCCGTAAGTGCGCTTCATGAATTTGAACCACAGATGAATTTTCACAGCCAAGCCGTAAATCCCGTTAACAAAACGGGAAAACCCAAAACAAAACAAAAACAAAACAAAAAAAAAAAAAAAAAAAAAAAAAAAAAAAAAAAAAAAAAAAAAAAAAAACCAAAAAACAAAAAAACCAAAAAAACCCAAAACCAAAACACCCAGAAAACTCACAAGCTGCAGAAAGCTGATGCATTTCTGGCTGCAGAAGACCTCACAGAAGACCATCCATGCAATCCTGGCATGTGAAAACCACTCACTGTGATTCACTGAAGTCACACTTTCTATAGCTATGATTTACATTAATTTGGTGTTGATACAAAACACAGGGGAAAAAAAAACAACCTAAAAAAAAGGGAAATCCACTCATTTTCTAGCCATCACTAATTTTGGGATTGCTGTCAGGTTTCCCTGACATGATGTTCACTGACTCTTCAAATCTGGCTTCAGACACCCATGCTCCAACACACGGATAAGGGATTTTTTATAGATTACCAATCTCTTTTTTCTATTCCTTCCCTCAAATTCCAGATTTTACCAGAAATTTTGCACCTGACTCTCTTAATGCTACTGAGAAATGAGCTACCTACAAAGCAACTGTCATGGCTCAGACAAGGAGAAGCTCCACACAGAGTKATTTTTCACCAACTTCTGAATCATGTCAAGATACAAAATCAATCTGTCTGCYGCTCATTCACTGCTGCTACATTTTTTCCCTGGTGTTACTACAAACTTCACCCTGTGCAGAAAAAGTACATTAATAAAAGCCAAAGAGCCTGGCTTGACTCTGTTGTTTGGTTTGTGCTAAACACAGAAAGGATCGATATTTAACATTGACATTAATGGCGGGGGATGACAGCTTAAAACCCTGATTCCTGTCTTTTTTGCATGGGCATTAAAGATCCCCTGGTGCTCTTCATGGGAGTAAATGTCTGTCTCGGTGTCCTCGGACAAAACGGTGCCTTGACCCTCATTCTTATTAAATATTTATCCCATAGTGCAGAACGATCCCCACTGGAAAAGGAGTCTTGAGAGCTATGAAAATTCCAAATCACAGTCCCAAATCAAGTGCTTTGAGACCAGCCAGGATGAGAGATCCCAAACCCACACTGCTGTCAAAAACAGGGGGGTTGCACCCAAAGTACCTCTCAGGAACCCCCTGTCTTGCCCCCTCCTAAATCACCACCAAGAATTGCCCAAGGCACTGTGCTCTGGCCAAGACTCTTTGGGCATGGTGAGGATGACAGGTTGATGTTGTGCTCCCCTCCCAGCATGAAGGTCACCTCTGGGGACAGCTATGAACTGCACTGTGTTGGGGTCCATCCCTCCAATAGCCCTGAGCTGTCCTCTCACTCTATCCCTGCAGGCTCTGTGCTTGCCATTGCTCTAAAATGTCACAGAAGGGCGAAATACACCCAGGAGTTAGAAACAACATGGATCTATTTGTGCTAACACAGCCTGAGGGGAGAGATGGGGCTGTGCAGAGGAGACAGTCCCCAGCAACACCCCCAGGGCACAGCAATTTCAAATCACAACACTCCGGGGAGCCCTGTGAATCCTGAAACTGCCAGGAGACCTTAATCTTTCCCCAAAAAYCAGTCTGATTTGGGGAAACCAGAGAGCGCAGAAGCTGCACTCACTGCCATCAGGATGGATTACTCCATGGTTACTCCGGCCACATAAACGAAAACGGGGGACGAAGGGGGGCAGGAGGCRATGCCTGGTAAAAGCATGTCGCTTCCCTGGGGAAAGCCTCTCTATTGGCATCCTCATTGATTTTCAAAATGAATTCCCAGCTCACTTCCCACAGCGACCCGGCCACTGAGAGCATTAGCGGGAGCCAGTTCAGGACTCACGTACTCCATTAGGTCTGCGAGATGAACTCCGTAATAGTAGGTGAGAGATGGATTGCTTTGCAGGGCTGGGAGGGGATTGCAAGRGCTGGGAAGATAAATCCTGTGGAAGGAGACTGCCAAGATTGGTCTGAATTTTTTATGTTGTGGGTTTTTTTGGCACYAGAATAAAGGACAGCTCATGTGCCCGGGTCACAYGCTGACAGAGGGTCCTGCTGCAGGGCAGAAAAKGAGGCAAGAAAGGAAAYCAAGGCAGAAAAATAGTATTTGAASACTAGTACACACTAAGGGAAAAATCAGGACACCACATCAACTCGAAACACAGACAGGTCCCCATGAGGGTAAAGCAGAGAGGATGAACACGAGCCAGAGATCCCAAAGCCATTTCACTTGCCCTGCTGCAGAGCCCAGCTCTCAAGCAATGAGGGCAAACATTCCTTTCCCACATCCCTGCAGCACTCTTAGCGAACAATCCCCATGGGATCCCATCTGGAGGCCCGCAGGGGTCGGTCCCACCCACATCATGACCAAAGACATTCAGCTCAATCTCTCCACAAGCCAAAAGGAATGATGATTCTCAGTCCCTTATGTCCACCACCTCCTTAATTTAACAGCATAAATGTAACCCCCTAATCCTTTGGCTTGATGCTCGTATCTTGAGTTTATGTTGAGGGAATGTATCAAGCACAGCCAAGGAGGGATAAGATCCTGTGCAGTTTCTACTGCCATTCCCAGGGGGGACAGAGTTAAAGTTATGCAGTGGGGCCATGTGGGAAGTGTCATCTTAACCCCACATTTCCTGGCCAGTTCCCCTCCGAGTTTGGGGAATTGGACTCTCACGGTCTGGAACAGGAGGTGTTTGGACGCCCACAAGTTAAAATCCAATGTCAGCAGCACAATTTACACACATGCATCTTGCTGGGCTCAGGCTACAGCTGTTGCACTGGTCCCTGCAAGAAAGTGAGCCAGAAGCACTGTGGGGACAAACCAGCACAGCCCTGCAAAACCCCATGGTGTCAGTGGGCTCTGGCTGAAGGCTCAGAACTCACTAGCCCAGGTTACCTTTCTGTGCATGTGTTGCAGCAAAGTGGGAAAAAAAACCTTGGAAATCCATCCTCAAAGCAAAAATCCACAACTGTGAACACAGCCAGCAATGGGATGGACTAGGCTGGGAGCCARGAATTTTTTATGAATGTTTTCAATCCCCCAAAGCGGTATTTCCCTCCTTGTTGACAGTTCTGAATTCCCTCGCTCAGAGCACTTGACTATTGCTGTGTGCACACAGCTTCACACRGTGTTCCTGCGCTTATCTGAGCAAAATAATAACTCAGCCTCCTTTGGAAACTCTTGCTCTGAATGTCCTTTTCCACCGGAGCCGCAATGCCAGCTTTCCCCTTCTGAAGGGAGAGGCTGGGACTGCAACTCCCTGTATCTTCCAGTGGATAAATTCCTGTGCTCCTGTCGATGTTCGCAGCAAAGATGCCAGGCTTGCTTGGCATCCCTGAGTGGTGCAAAGATCTCCATGGTCCCCAATACCAAACTGGTTCAAGAACTCCATAGATAAAGGCTCCTCAGATCTGCTCTGGCCATGAAATGCCTTGGACCAAGCTGCTGACTTTGTGCCAGTTAAAACTTGTGGCAAATGAGATTTTCTTTCGTGAGGAGACAGTAGAAATCTACTAGAAATACTCTTGAGGATGGCACCTAGCAGACTGCTTATGCACCACCCTTTCCTCACTCTTTGGAGCAGTTCCATCATTTATTAGAAAAAGGAGGGGGAACCTTCTCCATGGGAATCTCCCTGCCCCCTTTGCATTTGCTGCCAGCTCTCTCCTTGAGCCCAAATACAAAGAAATAATTAAAACAAGACAAACAACCCTACCAAAACAAGCCCTCCACATGCTTYTGCTGGCAGGGAGAGGAAAAACAACATGTCCACTGGATGAGTCAACACACCACAGTGCTGCCAAGAGGCCCTGGGATGGCACGAGGATGAGCATGGCACCCGAAGAAGGTTTATTTACTGAGCTTTCCCTATCGCCTCCGAGTTGGATGGCATTTGGAAAAGCTATTGTCAGTCTGAGGATGCCTTGGCAGATCACTAAAGGTTTCCTCCTTAAGGTTACAGGGGCACAGCATCTGATCTGGAAAATTTCCCCTCTCCTTCAAAATGGAGAGCTGTGTGCACAGACACAGCACCCCAATTCTTATCACTGCCTGAATTTTGGGTGTTAAGCAGGGGCAGCTGAGTTTCCCAAAAGGGAGGACAGGGCACAGCTGCATCTCCCACTGCAGAGGAGCTGAAGAGTAGAGACAACAGTGACACAGGGCTTTTGAGCTTTTCCTTTCCAGTTTCTGGTGCTCATTTCCATTTGCTTTGGGAAA